ACTTTGGAAAGGTATAAATTACCACTTTGAGGGGAGAGGTTTGGATGGAGATTATGAAAAATAAAACAGTGACAAGAACAGCAAAATAGTGGCCTCTATCAGGTGTCAGTGTGTCAGGATGGAGCTAAATGTAGCCTGGGTTTGTCTCAGTGAAAGAATTAAATGCACACACTGGGGATATGGCAGTTATTTTTTCAGTGACACTCTGATAATTCAGCAAAAGGCAGGGATGAGGGGATAGCATGGCCAAGTATGCTGATTTCAACGAGATATGATAAAAATCATATTATACTCACACAAATTATATCCTTTTTCTAAAGTTAGAACAAACAATAAATTCAAAAAATTCCTTCACAGAGAGGAGGGGAGGATAAAAGCATTGCTGTTTCCTCTTAAAATCTTGAAGGAAATCAGAGTTCAGTGAGTCATGCTTTAGAAATAAGTTCAGTGAAATTCATGTGTGGAAAAATCTCAGGCGAGTAATTGGCGATGAAAGAGTTATAAATAGAGACATTAATGATAGATGCCTTTTAATGGAGCCAGAGCAAAGAAATAAAATGATCCCTCTTTTTTGGTGAAGGTTTTTCTATACAGAGGATTATTTATACCCAAGACCGGGGTGGGTTGATCGGCTACTTTGGTAGCTATCAGCTGTCATTCCAGACATACAGAAAGATTAATTGAAAATTTGGTTATTCTTCCAGTCAAAAGCTAAACTTCAGTCTCTGTAAATGTACCAGGACAACACAGAAATGGTAGTTCCAGGCAAATGTTTGGCCCAGTATTAATTGACAGAGACTGTTGATGTTATGAATTCTCCAATTGTTCTGTAAATGCTATTTTCCATGTGAATATAACATCCATCAGCAGCTTCAGGAGTCTGAAGGATCAGGACAGAGGTGTGTATCACCCAGGAGAACAGGTAAAGATCAAAGGAGAGGCTTTGCAGGGGAGCAGGGCATTTGTTTTTCAGCACAAACATCAACACTTCTGCAGCTCTGGTTTATCTGCAGTCATGGGGCAGGATGGGATTCACCAAGGACAGGAAAGTCTCCACCCTAATTCAGACACAGCTGAAAAAACAACCTGATGCAAGTTCAGTGTCCCAGGAAAGGAAGGAGCAAGGATTCCTTTACGGGCAGCAGAAATGGGAATACAGAAAGCATGAGGAAGTACGTGTGATTTGCTGGAGCTGGGGTCCAAGGCATTCCTGGGGGGATGTCATTCCAGTCTGCCAACCTCCAACTCAAAATTACACATTCTCTCATAGGCAGCTGTCCTCTCTCCAGAGAAAGGTGAGATTTAGAAACAAGAAGTGGCCGTGGCTCTTCCCTCACCTCCAGTTAATCTTCCTTGAGGAATGTTTCTGAGGCACAGCAAGAACTTCAAGGCAAAGTGCAATGCATTTTTAGGTGTTGAATGAAAAAAACCTGACACAAGAACAATGTTCCTATGGCTTTACATTTGAAACACTTGGATAGAGGAGTCTCAAGGTTCCACTGGGTAGGAAACACTGGTATACGGAGATGAACATTACGCTGAGACCCCACATCCTGAGGATGGATCTGGAAAAACAGGGAGGCCAGCTTAGGGAAAGGCAGGAAATCCCTGCAGGAGATGAGGCAGAACAACTGGGCAGGCTGACAGGCTGGAAATCTGTGGGGTTTTTTCCCAGGAGATGGCAGTAAAGGACAATCGCCTTTCAGCCAGCGGAGCGCGGGGCAGTGGAAGCCGAGCTGCTCCTCAGGCAGCACTGCCACCCTCGCCAGTCGCTCCTTGTTACCAGGAGCAAAGCTTTATTCTTCGCGTCAGTGCTTCTAGCAAGGGTGAGGAGCTCAGTCTTCTACATTTCCATGCAGTAGGTAAATTAAAAGCCTTCTGCTTACCGTGGCAGGATCCCACTCCCACCTCATCCAGACTACAAGAAGCCCAGGAGATCTCTCCTCCAGCCTCCCGCTCACAGGGGTAAGCGTTGCATTCGTGCTGGGTTGCTTCCCACTTTGCACAGCCGTGCCTTGAGACCCTCCACAGACAGACCTCAGCCTTCTGAAGTAACCTCTTCTCATGCTTAATGATCACATTACTGCTTTCCCTGACTTGTTTCTGGCTAAAAACTCCTCAGTTTGGATTTATGACCATTGCTGTCTAGCTGCAGACTTCATTAAAGAGCCTGGCTCCATCTTGTTGGAAACCCTTTCTTATGTACTGAAAAGCTGCTGTCAAGTTTCTCCTAAGTCTTCCCTTCTCCAGCTGAACAAGTCCAGAGCCCTGCATCTCTCTTCATGCACGTTGCAGGATTCAGGAAAGTGCACCACCCTCTCTGAGGGTGCACTCCATCTAGACTGCCCCCCAAAACAGGCCCTAATAGTACTTCCTGAAAGAAGAAGTAAGGGAAGGATTTTATTCCTTTACTTTCTCTTAATTTAGTTAACTCCATTAATCTACAAGTTCTTCAGGCTCTCTACTCTTCCTCGAAGAAAAAAGGATTTCCAAAGCACACTCTGTACAGGTAACTGCAGCAACTTTGTGCATATTTTAGGATCAGTTTTGTCTCAGAAGAGGCCAGTGTTCAGCTAACAAGGTGCTCAGGATACAGAAAAAGAGAGAGCTGGTTTTACTACACCCCAACACAAAATCTGCCCCTTTCCCAGTTTTACAGACAGGGAGAGGATAGAAAGGGCATTCATCCCTGAAGTGATCCGTGACCTGGGAGTGGCAAAGATCTGGAAGTGCCAAAGTTCTGTGGTGTGGTGCAACTCTCCTCAGTCACTGCACTTTCAAAGCAAGCTGTTCAGGAGCGCTTCCTTGCTGCTAATGTTGCAGCACAAAGGACAATAGCTATGAGTCCTCTGCCATTTCCTCAGAGCCTACGGTAAGCCAGAGGAGTAATTAAATACTCTGGCAAAAACAGCAGAAATATGCTTTATTCTCCTCTGTGACTCATTGAGCAGTTGCCAGGAATAGCCAGGAATTTAAAGTAAAAGTTACTGTCAGGCTGTCTAGTTAGTGGAGTTTGCTGCTGAAAGAAGCATGGACAAGTTGATTATGTACTTCTTGCCACTCCTGCACGTATTCAGCTTCCCAAACCTATTTATCCTGCCATTTGTTATAAGGCACAGTGAAATGGAATCTCAAGTGAAATGGAAATCTGAAGGGAACCAGATAGACAGTAGCACACCACTGAAGACAAAACCTGGCAAGTGAAGCAAAGGGTAGAGGTTTCATGAAGGGGCTGAAGGGAGGAACTATTTTGTTCAGCTGAAACCTCAAATCAGATCTTCCCCATATGCCCACCATGGTATCCACCGCATCCCACATTGTATATGAGCAAGTCAAACAGCTGTTTTGTTCCTCTAAGGCACCAGGAGTTCAGCTGCAGACAAGCCCATTTTTATAAAAGAGCCTGTGTGGTTGAAAGCTGTCCCTGCTGGGGTGGCTCCTCCAAGGATTACCTTGCCAAGAATACCTAACACTTGCACAGAAGCCAAGATTCAGTCCCAGACTGCCCCCATGGCTTGGCACCTGCCAGGGCTGGGAGCCCAGGCTCCTCAGCAATCCCAGCCTCCTCCCATCACCAACGTCTTGCTCTCCCTCATTTCCCATGCAGACTTCCAGCACGGCAGTTCTGCTTCAGATGGAGGCTGCCCATTTTGTTGGCTGAGCAGATGACCTGCCAGCCAGTGCCGAGGCGGCCAGGGAACATTTCCTCATCCCTTGTGTCACCGAGATAACATTTAGCAACAGAGCTGCAGGACCTGCCCTGTTCCACCTGTTTGCATGCATAGCTAAGCCAGACCTGGACCAACAGAGATGCTGCCATGACTGACAGGACGTACAGCCCTCTGCCATCCCCCGAGCTGACAAGTGAACCTCACCCTCTTGATTCAGAGTTTCTACACACTGCTGCGTGAGCTGGGCTAATGAACAGAGTAGCAAACCATCAGGACAAGGCTTGGCCTCACAAATTCCCTTCAGAAGCTGAGGAGTGAATCAGGAGAACTGATAAGCAGCACTAATTGGTAACCTCAGTGAGAACTATCAGTTCATTTTGAGGGAGGAAAATGAATCATTAGCTGGTTTATTGCAACAGCACAGGTCACTCGCTTACTTTTTCTTTCTCTCTCCTCTTTCTTTGTTTTTGGTCTATTTTAGAAACATTGGCCAGCCAAAGCTGACTCACCGTATGCCTGAGGCTTTTCTTTTCTCAGGCTCAGGCAGAAGCACCATGTACATGTCATTCAGGTTCTGTATGGATAGCAACCAGGTTATTCCCTTAAAGTTGCACCATGTGAGCGGAGGCTGGATGTCAGCAGACAAAAGTCCACTGAGCTGAGCAGTTCAGGAGCTAAGGTTCATGTTTACCTTTGTGGAAGGTCTGAAGGGCTGGACCCTGTGTGGTGCAATAAGGGAGCAGTCTTACTAGTCAGGGGACACACAGACAAATAGATGGGACACTCACTCCACACAGAAAAAATGAAGACACAAATCTCTCCCTGCACAGCTTTAGGAATTTAGAAAATAGATCTCATGATTTATGCTGTAAGAGCACTGTAAAACATGGAGTGGTGTAACAAAATCAGAAGTTAATCCCAAACTCTGCAGGCTGGTGTGGCATGTGGGTGTTAGGACAGCCCTGTTCTTACTGCATTATCAGCAGTCCTATGGCATGCTGGTGGGGCAGATAAGAGGGACAGCTCTGTCCTCACAAAAAAAGCTCAAGAGAAACAACAGAAGGCATGAAATCAATGAGCAAAATCCCTTTGTGGTTATTCCTACCCCAGCTTTTGCAACCTTAGGTCCTCTGCAGCCTCATCTCCACACCTTGCTGCTCCTGAGCATTTCCACACGGTCTGGGCTACAATCATCTCCTACCAGGGCACTGAGGCCACAGGCAAAACAACGTGGGGAAGTTTACACTGCAGCTTCCCCTCGCTGGCTGGGCTGCAGCTGAGAAACTCCTCCTTTCTGTTCTTACTTACGTGTGTAGGTAAAAACAGACATGGATCTCGTGGTTTTTATTTACAGTCCAGTTAGAAAAGAGCATAACACCCTGCCCCACCCCCCTCCCCCCATCTGATTCATTTGCTACATTTAAAAGAAATACAGTGTGGTTTGCCAAGACATACAAACTTCTTTGTTCAGAAAAGGCAAAGAAAGCAAGTGAACAGCATTTTTTTCCAGTTAAGTCAACTCCTTGATTACAAAAACCCCATCAAAACTAGAAATATATATAATACAGAGAAAGTGCTAGCAGAGAAGTAATTTATGACTACCACAAAAGACTGACAGAAACAAACAAACAAACAAACAAACCCCACAAAATTTTTAAGGTCCATAAACCGCCTTGTTCCTGTGTCATCAATGTATGTTTTATGTCCCTGGAGGTGTGACATGGAAGCTGCTGCATCTGCGCCACTGAGCTGATATTGACATCCTCTGCTTACAGCTTCCAGGTGCAGAAATGAAGATGGAGCTGGCAGATTATTTGGGCCTGTTCTCATATGTCACATTTGCACATTCTTATATCAAATGCTGCATGGATTTTTTTTTTTTTTCTCAGCAATCAATTTCTGTTTCCCCTGGTGAACACCATAGGATTAGGTTTAAAATTCCCCAGCTTCCAGAATCAAGTATATCACATACAAACTTCGTTCTCAGTAAAAGAATATATGCAGATTTCATAGTAACAGAGGAAAAGTTTAAACTGTTAATCACAGTGAGCCTTTAATGCCTCAAGATTACAAATAAACACCTAATTTTCTTTCTGGATTTTTACATCTTTCTTATGATTATTTAAAGACTCATTATGTCCAGTGTTTGAAATGAACAACCGCGATGCAGCAAAGCTCTCCATGTCTCAGGGCACATTCCATTTATGTCCAAGTGTAGTTTTAAGTACACTCATATTCCTAACCCTCTCAGTTAGAAAACCACCACCAATAATCAGAATCTCAGAAAACCAAATATTATTTTTTCCTAGTCCTCTGTTATCTGTTTCCTCCACTGCTCTGACAATTCCTCTCACTACCCAAACTCATCTCCACCTTCCAAGCTGCTGTCCCATTCTCTGTTTTCCTTCATGTCTCTCTCCCTCATCTACTTGCTTTTCCATCCATCCTTGGCTTCCTTCCACACAGCACAAAGCTCTAGAGAACCAACTCATGCCCCAAAACAAATTTAAGTTAAGTTAATCAAAGATTATTTTCTCATCCTTACACTTCTTTGACCCAATCTGATTTTACAAAGCACTGGAATTTTTTTCAGAGATGAGCACTCAGTCTTGGAAAGGGCACAGGGGATCAGGGCTGTTGGTCCAAGAGTTTTTTCAGATCCAGGTCTCAAGTTTAATCCTGAGAAAGCAGCAATGGCCTCGTGTCCTCTCCTGTGGGGCACAGGGAGCTGTGCTAGCGGACGAAGGATGCCACATGTGCTGACACTCCAAAGGGAGCAGAATAGGCTGCTGCTAATCCTTGCAGGCCGACCACCAGGTAGTGACAACCCTTCTGCAGAACCTTTCCGACATTCTGGGGAGAGAGATGAGAAAAAGGGATAAAAAAAGACAAGGTGATAGAAAATAACTTCACTTAAAATCATTCTGACAGCCGGTGTCACGGCCCCAGAAAATGAAATTCTCCCACAGCTAACGAGGGCTGGAGAGTGGAAAAACATTTTCCATCTATTTTTATATAGGCATACACACCCACAGGGTATAGTTAAACTGAACGGATGCAGCCTCCACAGGAAGCCAGGCTTTCACATGTGATTCTATTCAAGAATAAAATTAGTTTAAATTCACCCTAGTTTGTAGAAGTACATAATTCCCATGTTACAGGTTCTAACTATGTTAGTAATTCCTAGAAGTTCATAAGGATCTAAAACTGGAGCTGAAGAAGAAAGCAGTAATCACTGAAAATATTTCTATGGAAATTTCATTGCTTTTTTGTCAAAATAAGAAAGTTTTGATCCACATCAGTACACATTCAGGAGCTCATCTATGCACTGCACTAGAGGTACACTTGCCATGGATAACTGAAAACCTTAATCTAATTTTAATTTCACTTTTGATAGTTTTTGCTCATGTGGCTGCTCACAACTGGGGAATTAATACAATGTGGTCAGATTTAAAGGAATATCAGAATTAATTATTAGTAACTCTTTATAGTTGTGTGAGACTAGATTAAAATGACTCTTGTGACATGGGAAACATTGAATCTGAGTAAATACTTTTAAATCAGTGAAATCCAGTCAATGTCTATTTTATTCTTATGATTTCTTAAAGCTGGATTACAGAGGTTCTGGCACACAAAAACCATCAGCTGTCATGATGTTACTACACAGTTGAACTTAGCTGGTTTTACTCCTATAGAGACTTACTCAAAAGGAGTTGAGGTGCCAAAATAAAAAGGTGGCTCCAGCCAGGGGTCAGATCCTGAGGATGGAGGAGGAGATTTAGGGACTTCCCTTCCTACATCTGCCCCTGCCTCATTGTATCACATTGGAATATTCTTTCCCCCTTCCTGCCCTTCATTTACCTACCCAGACCTCACCTGTTCTTTCATGAGTTGTTCTTTATGCCAGAGCCAAACTGGCAACCCTTCCCCTTGGGAATGTCATCTGACCAACACAAAAGGGAATACACAGTGCCCAAGAACTGATCTGTGCTCTAAACACCATTAAAAGCACCTTTATGTACCAACAGCATCACCAACAGCAAAGTGATGACCTGTTGCAACCATTCTCACAAAACTGCACCGTACAGGCTTGAGACAGCTTCCTACAGCATAGGACCTGGAAAACACAGCGCTGGAAACTCAAAGAATCAAATTTGTCACAAAATAATTAAATACCCTGTTCGTTACTTTATGAAGCAGTGGGCTTTGAGAAGCAGCTCGGGACAATGCTGACATCTGTAAACTCAATTTCAAAAGTAACTTTGTTAAGCTAATGGCATTTTCTGCACGTCAGACATAGCAAGCATAGCTTTACCAAAACCATGTTTTTTTAAATAGAATGCAGTAGAAAATCATGTCTCATGATGACACCTGTAATCTCAGCAGCTGGAAAGGATTCCTGACAACAGAGAGGTTTCTCCTGTTAACACAGAAACTACTTTTTGCTACAAATATCCAAGACATACCTGAGATGTACTTCAGTGACATGAACAAGAGAAAAACAATAGAATTCTTCCACATGGCAGTTTTGTAACCAAAGGCACCCGTCTTCCGGTGGGAAGAAAACCAAACCACCAGACTGTAGGACTTGTGACTTCCCACACAGGAAAGCAAAAGAACAATTTTGATCCAAAATTGTCGCTACAGATGAAGAACAAGCTGCATTTTTTTTCCCTGTAACTCACAGCAGTGATTTCTAAGGGTCACCTTGGCCAAGGAATGTCCTGCAGGGCTGTTTACCGTTTCTTTCGGGCACTTCAGTGGAAGGGAAAAAATGCAGGCCAATTAACTGGAAGTTTTAAGGAATAGTTTTAAAATTATGATGCCGAGGGAAACGCAGAACCAAGCGAGGCAAAGCACCCGTCACATGGATCAGCTTAGTGTCATTTTCACTTCGAATAGACAGATTTTGTGCTCTTTGATCCAGGCGAGGGTCGGTGTCCGCCTCACCCCCGGCAGCACCGGCTCCTTCCCGGGCAGATCCAGAGCAAGCCCTGACCCCACCTCGGAGCCGGGCGCGGGTTCGGAAGTGCCTGAGGGATAAGGGGCATCCCCGGGAGTCCCTCGGAACTGTCGGAGCCAAGGCCCCGCTGCCTTCCCGGCACCGCAGACACCGTGCCGGGGGTCCCCGTACCGAGGGTCCCCGCTCCTGCGCCCTCACCTTTCCGTACTTCTTCAGGCGTTTCCCGTAGGGCCGCTTGCCGGGGGCCCGCGGCGGGCGCAGGGGCTCGTAGGAGCCGGGCAGGACGGCGAAGCGCACCTTCCTGCACCCGGCGCCCTCCTCCTCCTCCTCCTGCTGCTGCTGCTGCTGCTGCAGCACCGCCGGCCGCGGGGCCCCCGCGCTGCCCCCGGCCCCCGCCGCCTCCTCCTCCTCGCCGGGCAGGATGGAGACCTGGTCCTCGCCGGGCCCGCGGCGGGAGAACCTGCCCCTCACCTTGGC